AGGGGAAAACAACCCTTTAAAATAATGGGAATAAGCAAAGGGAAGGGGAGGGGAAACTTAATACACCAAGCATGGAGCAATAAAAATCTGCAGGTGTCCATAGCAGTACAGGGATGGGGAACCCAGTCTTTCACAAACCATTCCCAGAGACTGCTAGTTTAAGGGCATTTTGTAATTAAACAAGGACAAACTGTTTTCTTACAGCCTGTACTATATTGCTTGATACGTTTGTGTTTACTAGAACTGCTGTTTGACAAGCAGAGAAAAATAAAACCAGAGGGGCAACATTAATGGACGAAACATCTGTAAACCGGAGTGGCATATCATCAGACTCATCTGAATGTGGTTGGACAGGATTTGAATAAAAAGCTTTGTTAGGAAAACACATCATGAATATGCCGAGGTAAGTAATCTCAGGATTAACACTCCAATCTGGCTTTCCTGTAAATGTACGCTGAGTTAGCTACCAAAGCAGCATCCCTGCAGAAGAGCCGGGCAGGGCGCACCCCTTTGCTCCCACCCAGCACAAACAGCTCCACTCCCGAAGCCTCGCACTGACGCCTGAGCACCGAAACCCAGGACCCACCACCGGCTCATCTGGAGAGTCCTCTTCAAACCCCATCCCCACCAGCAGGAGAGATATCTGCTGGAGCTCATCCCCCACTGAATTTGGGGTGCTGGGAGGCAGGCAGATGCTGGGGGCACTCAGAGGGGCCAAGCATCAAGGTTAAACATGGTGAGGTTGGCTGCTCTTCCATAATGCAGCTATCAACAGTACTCTTTGAAGTCAAGCGATTCGCCCTGCTTGTTGATGGGGCTGCAGCCAGTGGTCCCCAACATCAGCCCCTGCTCGCCACGGCCAGGCTGCTCTGCAGGCTGCTAGCAGAGACCCTGCCCCAAAATTCCCCCCCCTTGCCCTCCGGTGCTCTGCTGCCCCGCCAACAGGCTCCTGCCCTGCCCAAAGCGCTCGCCCATCTCTGCTGTTTCACTCCCCGATGTGTTTCGGCTGAAGAGCCACCTCCTGCCTTGCAGAGGGGATGTTTCCAGCACAGCGGGGGGAAGCATTGCTTGCTACGGGCTCTCAGGGAGAGAGGAACCAGACAGCTTTCAGACAAATAGGGTTTATAAAAATCTGATTAAATGCTTTCTTAATACTGGTCATTTTCTCATATCTGTCACTGTATTTCTTGAGGTGCAGTTTATATTAAAAAAAAACAAACCATCATCTAGACATTTTATAATTTTCCCTTTAAAAAGAAGTAATATGAAAGCTCTTTGCTACTAATTATTGATGCTGAAACAAACACTCGTTTCTTATGCCAGGACCGAACATTTGACCTATACTGCAAAGCCAAAACTGCTAATATTTGGGAAGAACTCCAGACCTGGATTTCAATTTCATGACTAACATCTGTCTTTCCAATAGAGTGGATTAAATCAATGCAACCAGTGTGATACATTTTAAATTACTGAAAGTTCAATTCATTTTCTATGAGCATATGTCACATATGTTGGGCTGCCAAAATAGGTCACTGGGCCAAGCGCTCAAAAATAATTTAAATGAAGGTTTAAAGAATTGAAAAAGACCTAAATTTACATTACCACGAGACCTTCTTTAATGCTTTGAGGAATAAAACTGCCATGAAGCACTGGGATCAGGAAGAAATTTTGCCACTGGGGATCCCATTTTCAGCAGGGACACCCAGACACGACATTGACGTGATGCAGCAGAGGGGATCTGGTAAAGCACAGGAGCAGCACAGATAGATGGGGTGGAGGGGAAGCACTTTGTAGGCTGCCTTTGCACAGGAAGTGCAACCACATTTTCAGGCACCCCCAGCACCACAGCAGGCCACAAAACCTAAGGGAGATCAAATATTCAGGCGATGTGTCCTCACTGACCTCTCTCCCCCTGTCCCTTCATCTGACTCTCATCGCTGAAGATTCAAGAGATGCACCAGGAGTCGGGGAAGCTGGAGATTTTATAGCAACCTGAATAGAAGATGGAGCCTGGAGTCCATGCGGGTTGCACCCTCTCTCGCTAAGCCCTGACCTAAGTCCTAGAAGTCCCTGCTGAGGTTTGCAAGTAGGAAAGTAGGAAACCCTAATGTCACAGTGGGGATTTCACCTGGCTGCACATGACAGCATCACACTTGTGGGAAAGCCCCAGTGGGAAGAGGTCCCCTACAGCTGAGCCCTGAGCAAGCCCAGCCCCACTCCTGCTCAGCCCCATGCCCGGGGCTGTGCTTCGGCCACCCAGACCCCCACGGGACTCACTTGTCATCCTTGAAGACAACCGGTACATAGGGAAACCTGTGCTGGTCCATACAGTGCAGCGGGAGCCGTGGCTGCCCAGCACAGAGCGCTCTGGCAGGCTCTGGCCATCCCTCCTGGCGTGGGTAACTGCACTTTTCCTCCCACCCACCCCCAGAAGCCTGTCCTGACCGGCAGATGGATGTGTCTCCCTTTTATCCATGCCCTGCTAAAGAAAACTTGAAGAGACGGAAACAGGAGGAAGACGGGGATGGAAGATCTGCAAAGGGCCACCCTGGTGTGGAAGTCTTTCCCTGGTCAGACGGGTGGCTCTCCCGAGGGTGCATATGGCTTCTGGCAGCATCCACGCTTGAGCAATGATGAATTTTCAGGATTGGAGTGCTCACATGTTTTCTAATCATATTTGCCCCTAACTCACGCTGTCCCATGCTTCCTGAAAGAAGGACAAGTGTTTCTGGGGACCTCCTCTGGAAGACGATGGAAGGGAGAGAGGAGCACCCAGTGCTTGTACTTGGTACGGTGGGATGGGAACCGAGCTTTTTCCAGCACGATGAACTGAAGATGACCCCTGGGGACACAGAGACCCACCACTACCACCTCGCCCGCAGCATCACCAGACTCCTCGGGGGCAATAAAGTTCTTTTCAAGACCCCGAAGGGAAATTTCCCTTGCGGATTCGTGTTCCTTTAGCAAACACACACATACACAGAGAAGCATCCCCGGCCGAGTGCCCCCATGCCCGGGCTCGGTTCCTCGGCCCGGCGGGGCAGGGCTCGCTCCCCG